GGCCCCCCAAGACATTATTTTTAAATGTCTAATATTTGTAAAGCCTAATCCTGAGAACTCTACTATTGAAAAGCCCTGGATAACTGTATTTCTGTTGTCTGTTAATTTTTTGTTAAAACAGACTTATTAGAAATCTTACCAAATTTTAATCTACTTTCTTGCTTTAGGAAAAATAATCTGCTGGACACACCTGCATCCTGCTTTGATGAGTCAGGACTTTGCAGCATCTCCAGGTCAGGATTTGGAGCATCATGGAGTACGCTGGGGACACAGGAGCCGGAGGGCCAGCCACATATGCACTAACCCGGGACTCCACTCCCAGGGAGTTTCTTCTCACAGGTCCAGATAGAGTTAATGCTGTCCTGTAGTTGAGGATCACTGTTAACCAGAAATTTTTTGGCCAGTGTTCTTGCAACTCCTGGATCCTTTACTCAAGGGACAAAACTTGAAAAATGACTTCAGCCAGGTTTTTCGCCACTGGGACAAATGAGATTTCCTATGCACACATGTATCTTCTTTTTTTTTTTTTCCTTTTTTGTCTTTTTTTTGTGACTGGTAACGGGATCGCAACCCTCGGTGTGGTGCCTGTACCGCGACCGGCAACGGGATCACAACCCTCGGTGTCGCGCCCGCACAGCGTTCAACCAGTGAGCGGACCTGGTCTCTATATGGGATCTGAACCCTCGGCGGGAGCGCTACCGGCGCTCCCAAGCGCCGCACTCTACCGAGTGTGCCACCGGGCCAGCCCTTTTTTTTTTTTTTTTAATATGTCAAAAGATTTATATTTGTGTCACCAATTCATTTTTCAGCCTTATAATTCTCACACAGGCTATGCTTTTGAGACGTGCTACCTCTCCAACACAGTGCTGCCTGGGCAGCCACTTGAAATGAGAGCTACCCTTTGTTCAATTCAATTTTTAAGCTGGTATGTCTCTTTCAGGACTTGAAATAGGCAAGAGATCTGCCTCCCAAAATATGTGTGAGGAACCAAATTAGCTGCACATTAGATTCACCTGTGGAGCTTTTGAAACTCTAAGTGCCCAGGCTGTACACCATACCTGGGGATGGGGATCAGAGTGTCTGGAGGTGGGAGCCAGGCATTAGTATTTTTAAAAAATCCTTCGGTGATTCCAAAGTTCAGCAAAGTTTGGGAACCGATGATACATGGAATTGCACATGTAAGCAATTTGTAGCATATTACCTAAAGGACTTAGCTAAACTCACAGAATACTTGAATTCACAGACCTCATGATATTTACATTTAAAATGCTTCAACATTATGATGGTAAATTATTTCAAAAAAAGAAAAATAAATTGTCAGTGAAACTGAAAATTGTTCTGAAATCTGAAATATTGCCAGAATACTGCAACCCATTCCTTTTTAGGAGGAGAACATCAGGAACATTTATTTCCAGCTTCAGAATCCTTTTACTAAGTACAGAAGCAAAAGAAATACTGCAAAACGAGGAAAGAGAGGATATAAACAAAGAAAAACTAAAATGATTATTTACTAAGAATTGCAAATGCTCATTTTCTGGGTACGCCACAAAGTTCCATTCTCTGTTCCTAGGACTTTGTGTAATTCACAGGGACGTGACGGTGGAGGGCTCATGCTTTTAGTTTATCAAAATAAACCTGAGTGTTTCTTTCCCCAGCCCTTAGTGAAAGCTGAGACTTTACCCATCTTTATGAAAAAAGCAAGAAAAAGAAAAAGAAAACATGTCCTAGCAGTGAGCTTGCCCACCCTTTGAACTGTTTGTTCTGTGGTTGAAATGTCCCTCCTACCTGATCAGTCCTCATTCAACAGATTCTCGTGTTTCGAGGATTATGTCAAGGGAGGCTCCTGCTGCCTGTCTAGTAGAGAACAATTCACAACAACAAACACACACTAGACTTGGATGAACTACCCTCCCCACAACCTGCGGGCCTGTTGGGGTCATTCAGTTCTTCAAACAGTCCTGTTTCTATAATTTCTTCCTGCCATGCTATGGGAACAGCACCTGTTGCAAATCTTTGGAAGAACTTCTTGTCTTTGTCATCAAATTCCACCCCCCGAACCTCAGAGAAATCATCGATTTCATCGATGTCTTTGGCATAAACCACCGAAGGGTCCGGCACAAATGGGGGTTCAACCAGGCCGGCTTCCAGGCGAGGAAAGTTGATGGTTTTGAAGAAAGAGTGGTTCCTGGGATCATCAGACTGTGCTCTGTGAAGAAAGGAGATGATCAGCTTGAGACAGAGTTAACAAACCAAAATGGGAAATGTTCTAACAATATAAAGTGTGTTGAAAGAAAAGTATTCTTTTCTTATAATGCATTTCATTTTATTTGCCAAGATGATATAATGACATAAAGAATAACTTTAAAAAATAATGTTTAAAATCACCCCAAATTCCACTCTACATAGACAGTAGCATTTTCATTGTTTACAGACAGTCTTTACATGTTTATGTAATTTTTAAAGAGTCAAGCATTTGACATGACTTTTACTCTTGGGGTTTCATGGAAGCACCAGGAAAATTCCATGGGGCCAGACCTGTTTGCCTGCAGCTTCCAGTCATTGCCTCTTCAAGGTCACACAGAACAAAGTAAGCAGATCTCTGTTCCCATGAGACCACCACTCACATTTTAAAAGATAGTGCTCATATCTCCTCATTTGTAATATGACATGATTTCTAGGAGCCTCACCCACCTTCCCAACTGCCACAATAATCTTGGTTGTATTTCTTTAAGGACTTAAAAAAAAAATCCATTAGTAATTTGCAGTAGTATGAATCAGCATACATTTGATGTGCAAGACTATGGTTATTAGGGCTGGCTGGTTAGCTCAGTCAGAGTGCAGCCCCGTAACACCAAGGCCAAGGGTTCAGTTCCCTGTACCAGCCAGTGCAAGAAAAAAAAAAAGACTATTGTTATTATTATCAAACCCTCCTTTCCTATGCTAAATATTATTATAGTATTTTTTGGATCTCCATACTGGCCAGCCACCAAAAAAAAAAAAAAAAAAAAATTATTCCAGCATCTACCTTAGAATAAGAGAAAAAAGTATGTTGCCAACTATATAACCTCTACTATTAGTTATCTATTGCTGTATAACAAATTGCCCTAAAATGTAGTGGCTTAAAACAACAAACATTTATTATCTCACAGTTTCTGCAGTTCAATAATAAAAAAAAAAAAAAAAAAAAAAAGAAATTATTCCAGCATCTACCTTAGAATAAGAGAAAAAAGTATGTTGCCAACTATATAACCTCTACTATTAGTTATCTATTGCTGTATAACAAATTGCCCTAAAATGTAGTGGCTTAAAACAACAAACATTTATTATCTCACAGTTTCTGCAGTTCAATAATCTGGACATGGCTTCAGTGGGTGTCCCTGGCTCAAGGTCTCTCGCGAGGTTGCAGTAAAGCTGTTGGCCAGGGCTCTGGTCTCATCTGAAGGTCTGACTGAGGGTGGGGGAACTGCTTCCATTCCTCACCATGTGAGCCTTTCCACAGGGCTGCCTTGTATCATTGCAACTGTCTTTCCCCAGGGCAAATGATCCAAGAGAAAGACCCAGAGAAAGAGAGACAGACAGACAGAGAGAGGGAGAAGCACATCCAGGACAGAAGCCACAGACTTTTTATCCCTAACCTTGGCATCGCTTCTGCTGTATTCTGTTTGCTAGAAGCAAGTAAGTAAGCGCAGCCCAGAAAATAAGAAAAAAATGAAAAAAGAAAAAAAAAGTGTATCCCACACTTAAGGCAAAGGGATTACACAAGGGTATGAATGCCAGGAGGTGGGACCACAGGGAACCATTTTAGGGGCTGTCTACTACATTTCTCTTGGTTCCTCTTAATTCCAGGCTTTAACAAAACAAGAAGAGTACCATTTGTGGCATTAGATTCAAAATGATTTTTTCTTTTTCTTTCTTTCTTTTAAAAATGTGAATAGATGTCCTTGTCTGATTAAGAAATGCTTTCCTTTTGGAAGAAGTCAATTTCTGTCGTAAATCAACCTTAATAAAAGTTAATCACATTCATGGTCTCTCCTTTCACATTTTCCATTCCAGATATCAAAAAACCTTTTGAAGGGGGCTGGCTGGTTAGCTCAGTTGGTTAGAGCGCAGTGTTATAACACCAAGGTCAAGGGTTTGGATCCCCATACCGGCCAGCTGCCAAAAAAAAAAAGTAGGGGAAAGAAAAGCTTTTTGGGAAAGGCTTGAGGGCTTAAGGCCCCACACATGCCCTTCAGAGACTCCCCACCATGTCAGCTGATAACTGCAGCAGACTCTGCCCAGTCAATGACTAGAGGTTAACACAGTAATGACACGGCTAATAACAAGAATGAGAATAACTTAACGTTTATTCAGGCCTACTCTCAGCTAACACAATGTGTTACACTGCTATATTTAACCAGCACAATGACCCTGTCTGTCTCTAATGCCGTATTTTTAACCTCTTTACTTGCATCTGCATTCACAAATAACTGTGTGTCTGAGGAAGCCAGAGAAAATAGGTGAATTTTTCAAAGGAAGAGTTGTAATCAAATTGTATTATGGAAAAGAGAAACTCAATCAGAGGCATCTGACGTCAGCCATTCCTTGGATCTTTGTACCGTGATGCAGGCCTAGCCCCATCCAGAAAGGTCCATCCAGGACTTCTTGGACTTTTCTCACTGTGTATGAGAACCACATCACGAGGTGCCACAGCTGTCTCTTTACTTCCAAAAGCCACTAAGTCTCCGTCAACTGAAAGGAAGGAAAGTGCAGGCTTACCTTCTACCCAAACCTACTGACCTGATGTCTGTGTGGTTCACATCTTGTAGATTAAGAGCCTTGAAGGAGACTTACTGAGATGAATTGAAGCTTCAAAGACAGATTTTTTAAAAGTCAGGCTTATTGGGGTATAATTTACAGGGAATCATTCACCTTTTAAGGCTATGGGATGGATTTTAAATGCGGCAGAAGTACAGAGCTGGAATTTCACCCAAGTAGATCAGGAATGAATCCCAGACTTGTATGTCTCAAAGAGAATGAAGGAGGTGGAATGGGAGACTAGGTGCCACAGGAGAGAGTGTCTATCATCTCGATGACTACCAGCAGGCATGAACACACTGCCCCAGGGGTCAAAAGGGCCCTTAAAATAGACTCTGAGCAGGTTTACTGTGGGTACATGGAGAGTGCCCAGGAGCTTTGCAACCTCAGGACACTTGGCAGGCTGGTTTTTACATCAGATGAACAGTTCTCAAATAGCATTTTAAGCAATTCAGGCCCAGGTGGCCTTGGTTTGTCAATCTGGGATGGCTGACTACAGCCCTTTTGCAACTAATTATGAAAGACAAGGGAACCATGGCCACTTTGAGGTTTCCTTTACATTCTCAACAACCCAACTAGATGCCCTGGGAGAGCAGAACCCATGCCTTATACCTTTGCACAAGAAACGTCTACGGTTGCTGATGCTACTAACGAGGACTAGGCTTTCCAACCTCTATTCCTTACTTGTGTGTTGGGACCACTGCAAAGACAATGACTTTGATCTTTTGTGCTAGCAGCTCTCACTGCAGCTCTGTCATTAGAAATAGCAGGAAGATTATTTTACTTTTGCATTTTTCCCTGGCAGCTCTGTGCTGGCTCTTTCGGCCTATCATCAGGCACTACATTTTGGATAGATAGGAGAGGCTGTTGATGGAGGCAGCCTCTTTCATAACAGCCAAGCCAGCAGCTGCAAGGAAGACTTCTGTTCATCAGAGTGGAATATATTTCAGAGCAGTAAAGAGGCTTTTGTGTTATCAAAACCCACAGGAGATTACAGTGGATTTTCTTATAAAGTTAACGAAGCAAAGATACCACCTGCCCATACGTGAGGACCCCACTGTGGGATTTAGTCTATGAAGTTCAGAGGGTATTGGCAAGAAATTGGGTATTGGAAAAGAGTTTTCAAAGACTTTCATGGTGGGCCGGCCCGGTGGCGCACTGGAGAGTGCGCCTCTTGGGAGCGCGGCGGCGCTCCCGCC